AAGCGTATCCAGCACCATTTCCTGCATCAAAAGATAGCAGCAATTTGATTCCAACAACTCAGGGCCATGACGGGTGGAATTCATATCAGCCAATGGCCAGGCCAAAAGAATCAGAAATCAAAGGTAATGGTACTGGGATATGGTGTGTTATAAGGTAACCGAAATTCCTACAGAAGGGGATGTATTACTGGTGAGGAGTACCATTGGTAAAGGTGAAAACATGCTAATAGCCCCATAAACTACGTACTGCAAAATAAAAATACTAGCATACTACGTACCGCTACGATTAGTTTTCTTAGGCATAGAGCTGCATTGAGAGTAACAAAAAAACATGTATACATCTATCTCTGTTACCCTCCGCAGCTTGTAACTCAGCTCTACTTGTATAGCTGCGGTGCTTCACTTAATATGTATTTTCTTGGTTTTCTTACTTGTAACTTACAAATTATATATCAGGCCTACTTGTAAAGTAGTGGTGTGGTGCTTAATTTTTCTCCCTTTCTTCTATTTCTTTCAAATCAAAAGTGTGAATAATCATAAAGAATATTTTTATTTTTTCTAATTTATTACTCTTAAAGCAATACTCATCTTCTCTCATTTCTCCACTGTTCGTGTTTGAGTAATTGCTTAAAAACAGAATTACGGGAAGGAAAATAATCATATAATTCTTTGATGTTAGTTACCAATTTGATTAGACTCTTTATAATATTAACATCTTCATTAACTTAAACAATTCAAGTATTGTTTATCTTTTTTTCTTAAGACAAATATAGTATGAGTAAGAATGGATGCAAACTATACTTGGAAATCGCAAGTTCTAAAAATTTATTGTTATTTGAGTGCAAACACAATTACATTGTCTCTTTCATTAAAAAAAAAAAAATTCAATTGTGGTGTCTCCCCGTGAGATGAGACGTATGTTGTATTAATTAGTCGGGCCAAAAAACCAGGAATATCCATATATTCTTTAAAAAAAAAAGATTATTAATAGTTAACTACTAACTATTAACTATCAATTGTAACAAAATAACTAATTCAAATAACATCAAAAATAAAATTTATTTTTATAATTTTTTATGTAAATTAATAATAAAAAGTATAATAAATATATCGTTAATCTTTTAAGGCACTTAGTAAAAAAAAATTTATTTTGTATGATGTATTAGAGGATTAATGAGTATTGTTAAAGTTTAAATCTCTAACTTTGGTTTTGACAGGTTAAAATTTTTTTCTCTTTTAGTGTATTAGAGATTAATAAGTATGGTTGGGATTTAAATCCCTAATTTCAATTACAAATCAAAGTTTTGAAATCAGTTTGATATTAATTTGGCCAAAATGAGTTTATGTGCATGCTACTCTTATCCACTGCCTTTTCCACTCTTGACTCCG